GCTGGTTTTGGCTGATTTTTATCGATTTTAGTTAGTTTTACACATACCTCGGCAGAAAAATATGTTAAGTGGTCTCGGATGACCAGAAAATTACAAAAAAACAAACCTACTAGCTGGGAGGTATCTGGGTACGGTAGCTCCACCGGTTTTCCTTCATGGCTGGGGTTTCTTCTTCGGCTAACCTACACTGAAAAAAACAGTAAACACAATGGTCGAAAAATTTTATAAAACTGAAAATGGGGAGGGGCTCATCGGAGAGGTTTTAGGGTTTCGACCGCAGTGACTCTGCTGGGTTTTGCTCACTCTCCCTTTTGCTCTGATATGGCCACGAGAGAGTCAGAATCGAATTTCGAGCAGTAAGGGAGAGTTTTACCTTTTTTTGCGATTGGTAGTGGCTCTGGTGCGACATTGGCTAGGAATCAGTCTCCTTCTTCGGTGGTTAGTCATTCTTTTCAGCGAGGGCAGAACGACTAAGGTTAGGGTTCTCCTACGATTCGATGTTTATATATTCATCCCGCGTCAATCTGGGTCATTCATTTACGTCGACGTAGAGTGAGAAGATTCATCCGATCGTTGCCTGTTTATGTAAAGCCCCAGAAATTTAAAATGAAATGTATATTAAAAATATCAAATGCGGAAGCGAAGTCAAAATTTGAATAACATCCCTTACACTAAAACCAAAAACGTGCTCACAAAATATAAAAGATCAAACTACCTAAAGGAGAAACTTGAAAGTAAAAGCTACGAATATGACTATGGAGTCTTTAGGCGTCCCATTTGTCGTCCTCCTGCGGAACCGGCTCGGGAACGATGTCCTCTTGATCTGAAATGATTAAATAAGGAATGAGCTACACTAGCCCAGTAAAGACATCACGATATCTCACCGTCACGGTGGTAAAAGTGGGTAGAAAACACAAAAAGACCAATGGAGCATAATTTACAACAAATCCTTTTATTAATAATAAAACCTTTACCATTCACTTACCTCGATAGAATCCATAAAACAGTGTACGAAAGCAATAACATCATCATCATCATGAAATCATATATAAACTGTATAACATAATACTTATCAAGCTTTTCGTAATTCAATCGTTACACAACATATTTTCCTCATTTACCAGCCCACTAGTATCCATGGGGATCCATAAGGGTCCCGCTACCCGTTAACCCTTAACACTTGAAATCATTTTTCCAGGGCCGTCCCCATACCCCGTCCGGTATGGGCGCCAAATTTATAGACCTCATTACCCCGTCCGGTATGAGGGTGAAACGGGCCGTCCCCATACCCCGTCCGGTATGGGCGCCAAAACACATAAGATCTCCATACCCCGTCCGGTATGGGAGACCACAATCCCGGTAGGGTTCCCTACGGACCCGGTCCGTCCACCATCTCCCAGGATATCTAGTCAGGCTGACCACATTATACAATTACCCATTTACATAATCTATCATTCTCTTTTCCCTCAGTCAGCATCATCAATCCACATACAAACAAACAAAACAGTAATTTATGCCAAACATATAATATACAGCATCAATATCCCAGTCATTCAATCCATAATCAATAAAACAGTACAATATGCACACGAAACTATAAAATGAAAACATCGAACCTCATGCTGCATTTAAAACTGTAAAACAGGCCAAATAACAGTTAACCGACAAACACACTAGACTCGGGCTCCATTAGCGACCTTAAGCAATTTCACACATTCGTTGATTCATGAAATACCGTTTTATCATTTATTGAACTTTAATACCGTGATAGGAAATAGGGTGAGGGGTCCTTACACGTTTCGGGGTCCGAACACGGCTTCACAGTGCGCCTACAGGCTGTCCCTAATTTTCCCTGAATTTTTCCTGGGGAACTGAAATGCACTACTGGTACCTGCACGTGTTCCAAAAAATCTCAAATTAGGCCCAGGGCCCCTTTCAGCCAATATCGCATTTCCGGCACGGCGGCTCCGCCGTGCTCCGGCGATGCGGCGGTTCGCCTCGGTTTGGCTGTTTTCGGCCGTATCCGGCCGAATTCGGCTACAATTGCATCGATCCTTGCGATTAAGCAACTCTAGGGCCCTCGGGGGGCCAAAAAATTACGAAAAACCGAAGCTTACCAGCGGCGGTGCTCTCGGGTGCGGCGGGTC